ACAACAGCTCCACCAGTAACTACAACAGCTTCACCAGACACCACAACGGCTCCACCAGTAACTACAACAGCTTCACCAGACACCACAACAGCTCAACCAGTAACTACAACAGCTCCACAAGACACAACAACAGCTCCACCAGTAACTACAACAGCTTCACCAGACACCACAACGGCTCCACCAGTTACCACAACCGTTCCACCAGGTACTTCATCTGCTCCGCGAGATACCACTACAGCTGCATCTAGTACAACAACTGCTTCACCAGATGCTTCAACAGTTTTACCAGATGCTACGACTGCGATACCAGATACAACGACAACTCCATCGAGTACCACAACACTTCCACAAGATACTTCAACGACACCTCAAGGAACAACACCAGCTCCTCCTGGTACGACGACAAATGTTCTCCCAGGCACCACAACAGCAGCAACAGGTACAAGTCCACTAGAATCTACAACAGGTCTGTCAACCATCCATTCATGCATGAAGAAGCTCAGACTAATAGCTAGAATATGAGCTCAAAACGATGTGCGCTCTGACCATACGTAAAGTTAGTTATAACAAGCCCACAGTCTTGACATACGAAATATTCTGAGTTATGTGTTATAGAGTTTTTTTGTGTGTCCCCTAAACTTATTTCACGAAGGTGGGAACTAGTTAGTTAGCCAGTATGGGCTCTTAATGCGCTTTTAATCTTTAAACGCTTAGTGGAATGATGAGAAAGATTGCACACGGTATGTTAGGGTAATTTTCATAATCTGATTACGATGTTTTTCACATCTTCTTGCAACAGAGCCACCGAATACAACAGCATCTCCATCTACAACCACTAGCGGCCCAGATTTAACTACAGGTAATGTATCACCTGGTGATATCACCTTAATGAAGTGAGTCAGTCTTGTACTTTTCTGGAGAGTTCATCATCATCATCATCATCATCATCATCATCATATTTATTTGCCTTATTTTAACAATTAAAAAATAGTTAATTACAGTGATAACAGTTAGAATACGAGGAGACCTAAGAAGCCACCAGGCTTATGGGAGAGCCACTTCACTTAGAATAATAGATTAAGTAAAGAAAAAGTGCTGCGAATGTGCGGCTTGGCCAATTCAGTGATTATTTAAATAAAAACTCTTGCAATTTCGCTTTAAAGCTAAGAAAGTTTGACGAACGAGTGACTGAAATAGGGACAGAGTTCCAAATTTTAGGACCTTGGTAGAGAATTGTAAACTGCTTGACATTTGTACGGCACAAATGCGTTCGATAATTACTGGCTGTTTTGGTACCATAGTTGTGAATTTGGCTATTCCTTAAAAAGAGATCGAGAAGCAATGGGGGCAATAAGTTATTTTTTGAAATAAAACATAAATTTAGCGATTTCAAACGTAATGACTCGGAAAATATCTAAAATTCCTAGTTTGGAGAATAAAGGGGCAGAGTGGTCTCGATAGTCTGAGTTGGTGATAGCCCGCACAGCTCGCTTTTGCAATAACAAATTCTATTTAAGTTAGATACGTATCTGGACGACCAGACGGTATAAGGATAAACTAAGGTGTAATACAAAGTGAGCTTGGTTGCCGAGGTTGCCGAGGTTGCCGAGGATAGGGAAAAGCGAGACTATTGCTTTAGCGATTTGTTTACATACATAGCTGATATGGTATTTCCAGGTGAGATGATCGTCAATATAGACCCCAAGGAATTTAGTTACATTGCCTTGTTGTAGGGGTTTACCTCCAAAGGAGAGAGAAATGCTGGAGTTAAATTTCTTCTGTCTGGGTTTAAAAATTATATAGTTGGTTTTCTTTACATTAACTGAAAGCTTGTTACATTTTAGCCAAACGTCAATGTTTTGGAGTTCATCATTAAGTATAGATTCTAAGCAATTTAGATTTGAGTGAGAATAGAAGATACTGGTGTCATCAGCAAAAAGTAGAGGGTCTGATAATTCAGAGGCATTAGGAAGGTCATTAATGTATAGAATAAACAATAGTGGGCCTAAAATCGAACCTTGAGAGACACCACACTTGATGGTTTGCATCGGAGAGTAAGCTTGATTGAATTGGACAAATTGCTGGCGGAGAGAAAATTAGCTTTTAATGATGGGAGATCTATACCAATGTTTCAGAACATTCCTAGTATTCACCTTTTCTTCTATAAATTTTTCATGTAAATAGAGTTTAATAGCTAACTCCAAATCTTAAGGCACTCTTTTAACAAACGGCCCGAATGTGACTACAGGTCCACCAACAACAGGTTCATTGGACACCACAACAGGCCCACCAGTTACATCAACAAGTCCTCCAGTTACGACGGCTGCGCCTTTTTGTTTGTCCAATCGCGAACCCGCTACTCAGGAGGAAATAGCAAACTCAGTTTCACTGGTTATTCCAAATATAACTATTCCTGAGGTCTGTACTTCTTTTCATTAGCTTTCTTTTAATTTCTCAAGAAGAGTATTTCGTGTGAGCACCGACCAACATCATTATCTACAGTCTCTTCGTGAAACTTTTGTATTCAATCCGTTTCATTAGGTCTGTAAATATTCAAAGAATAAAATGCTGTTGAGTGGGCAAAATCAGCTGGCAAATTTTTGGATATTTTGAAATCGTCCCGTGCTCTCAAATTGTTTTGATTAGTCTTTCAGCCACATTAGAACCATTTTTGTACGATCGTTACCCCATATTCCAAGTTAAGATGAGCTGAAATGTTTGCCTTTTGTATATTTTCAGAAAAAGTGAATCTGATTGTAGATGCTTAACTAATGATTATTTCTTTCAGTGGTGTGCACTGGAAGCGAACTTTTCTCAACTAATTGCTGAAACAGTCTCAAGTTCCTGCGCCACTCCAGGAGTCTGCCCTTTCTCGTGAGTGAAGGAGTTTGCAATAAGTTTTGTCCTTCTAAATAATCACACAAGAGCAACATAGTTTACGAATGAAATCAGTCCTTTCTCTCAAACGCTTCTTTTGACGAAGAAGAGACACTTACAGAAAGCCAGACAGAAGCATTATTATTTATTATTTTTTATATTGTTTCATTTTGGCATCAAGACCATCGGAAGTAGAAGTTGTAATACAGGAAGGTTTTCCGAGAGTCAACAGTCCTCTGGAGCTCAGGTTCTTCATTCGTCTGAGAAGCGAAAATAACACAAATGTTACCCTGGGAAGTGAACAACTGAACAATATATTGGACACTGTTTTACAAAACTTAACCGACACGTTGGAAGTAGAATTTACAGGTATTTGTTGAGCAAATTCTTCCATTTTTATAGTTAAATGTGCTGCCTCTGCTGCCTCTCCTCTTAAGCGCTTCATTATTTAAGTGCACGTCTCTGATTCTGTTTTTTTTTTATTTTACGTAAAAAGAAATGTGTGTCAAGGCCAATATTTAAGCTTGATTTTGGATAAAAAGGACCAAGTTTTCAATGGAAGGACTAAGGCGTTTGTAATCGAAATCTGTTCACACCGACATCCTTCCAGACCTTGTTCTTCAAGATTAGTTACTAATTGCTTTCTTTCAAGTGTCAACAATTAGCCCTCCATTAACAGCGACTGGTCGTCCGGAAACAACAACAGCGCCACCAGAAACTACTGCAGGTCCGCTAGACACTACAAATCCGCCGGACACCACAACAGCTCCACCAGGCACTACGACAACTCCACTAGGTACCACCGCAGGTCCTCCAGACACCAATACAGCTCCACCAGGCACTACGACAGGTCTCCCAGGCACCACCACAGGTCCACCAGAAACTACAACGGCTCCACCTGACACTACAACAGGTCCGCCAGACATTACAACAAATCCATCAGGTACCACTGTAGGTCCGCCAGACACTACAACAGGTCCCCCAGACACAACAACTCCACCAGTTACAACAACGGGTGTACCAGATACTACGACACCGCCGTCTTGTTTATTAAATCGCGAACCCGCAACAACTGAGCAGTTAACGAACGCATTCTCAATCATAGTTCCAAACTTCACTATTCCGCAGGTATGTAGGTTTTACGTCCGGTTTTGAACACCCTAAGTATTTATGATGCTGGATTTTGGTAGGTCGATACACAGAGAATACCATTTGGACGCGTGTAGATACGGAATTTCTTAAATCGTGTTTAACTCGCCATCTTCATTATATAAACAAAATAGGCCTTTACTGACAAGAAAAATCGACTTTATTACTGAATGAAAAAAGGATCTACAAATCGTGTCTCTGTGTCAGCAGCTAATTGGCGATATCGTATACACGTAAAAAGAATATCGTAATTTTACACATGCGCTGTTACAGCTTTTCTCGGGGCTAGGAATCCTTATAGAACACCCCAGTTTAATAACATTATGAAAGATATCGTTTCATTCGTTGTAATTATTGACCTAAATTTTGACGAAAGATAAACTTCTTTTCGGTATAGGAAGAGAAGCTACGCTGTGGCTATAAAATTTACTTTGTGCTCAAAGTACTTTTTTCTTTGCTTTTTTTCTTTCTTTACTTATTCTTATAATTTTTTCCTTTTCCGTTGTTGATGCCAGTGGTGTGCAATTGAGGACAACTTCACGAAATCACTTGCCGAGGAAGTGTTCCGTTATTGTGCCTCTTCAGGATTGTGTCCTATCAAGTGAGTTGTTTCATCAGTAAATAACAAGAGAGGACGGATAAAGCTAAGAAACTGAACCCCTCAATATAGGCCCTCTTACGAAGGCTCTCAAGTTATTTTAAAAGATTTTGCATCTTCTACCGCATGTGTCACATAGATTTTTTGGTAGATTCCAATAAGAGGCCGGTCATTATTTATCGCCTTGGCTGGGGATGGAGATGGGGATGAGGGGNTAAATATAATTCCTTTTTTTCGGAAAAATCAGTCAAAAGAGAACCTCTTTCTTCCATTTCCTGTAGTTCTTTTTTTGTGATTATTTTGATCCCGGAGGGCTTCCCCAGAGTTAACAGTCCTCTCGAACTCAGATTCTTCATTGTATTGAGAGACGCTGCAAACAATAATTCCACCTTGCAAGTTGAACAGTTGACAACGATTCTGGAATCCTACCTCATAGACTTGAGTGGCATCTTGGGTGTAGAATTGACAGGTAACACTGATGGTTCAATGACGTTTTACAAATTGCCGTTTTTTTTCAAAACTGAAAAAGCGTAACCTTCCTTGCAAACAAATGAATCGAAACAAATGAAGTCTACTTCTTTTTTGGCGATCTGTTGTCTAGTAAACCCCAACCAAAAGTAAAATCGAAAAGAAACGTAACATACCAAGCAATTCAGAGCTAGGTTACTTACAGGAGCTCTTTCGTGTCTTTAGTGGACTAGATGGTGCATATAAGAAGGCAGAGTTGGCGCATGCACATTATGCAGAGTGATTGGTAGCAGATATTGAACTGAGGTGACAGGCTTGCCATGCATTATGCAAACTTCCCTCATAAATTAGCAGAGGCTATAGGTTGGAAAAAAGGGACAAAAAGAATGTTCAGAACTGATATAGTTGTATCCTTCTGCATATGTCGTTCTCAGTTTGATCCCCTGCTGTTATATCTGTCACGTTTTATCTTGAACAGTGGATGGAAATTTTTTTAACTGGGGTCCTTGGGGCAAATGCAGCTCTTCCTGTGGGCCTGGTGCTCAAATGCGATTTAGAAACTGCACCAATCCACCACCGATCAACAATGGACAAGATTGTCAGGGACCTAGTAACGAGACTCGGGCATGTGACTCAGGAGCTTGTCCAGGTATAGAATTTCCTACGAACTAAGACGTCCTTCTACGGATTCGGGTAAATACGAATACACCGCTCCCCCCAAAATTAAGGAATTGGAAATGAGGGAGAACCGCATCTAGCGGAAAAAGACATGAAGGGTCATTTTCAATAGTCCTTCACCCTTCAGAGATGAAGCCTTATCAGTCCTTACGATTTGGATGTTCGGCTTTCAGTTATGAAAGGGTCGGACACAATTCGAGTCAGCTGATGGTAAGTGAGTTATAAATGCGTTCAAAGGGAAATTAGGCAGATCTATCGTAGACTTCTATACCTTTGTACATTTCGTTCTCCTCTCATAGCATTTATCTTCATGTCAGTACAAAATAACAATAGAGATTTTAACTTCATGTTCCACGATCCTCCGCAGTTACAACAGCACCTCCGCCGCCAACAACACCAGCCTGTATTTTACCAAACCGCAGGACGCCCAATCAGGAGGAGATCAAAAATGCTATTTCTATATACATTTTGAATATTACTCTTCAAGAGGTTTGTCAGGATTTGTATCGATTATTACCTTCATAAAGTACCTTATAGGACTCTTACCTTGCATCAAGAGTAAACCAGGTCGATCTCTTTCAGCTAATTTCCGGGTTTTTTTTTAACTGGTGAAAGATAAAATAAAGGCTATTTTTAAAAAATATGGCTTTTTTTTTTCAAATTCATCAGATTTTGTGCTTTATTGACGAGACAGTCAATGGTGGACGCCATTATTCAAAAGGCGCACACTATGGTTCCAAATCAAAATTGCAATTCTATAGAAAGTCTGATTTGTGGTGGCATCTACCTAAGTGTTTACCCTCAAGGGAGGCTCTGTATTTTTTGGGTTAATATGGGAAAACATAAGATGAATCGTTCTCTTTGCAAATATCATTGCAGTGGTGCCAAAGAGAAGATGAATTTAGACTACTACTCGCCGATTTTGTCACTGACTTTTGCAATGCTCAGATCGGGATATGCGCCAACCGGTAAGAAAGTGCCAAGTGAAATTTGATGTATCTGGTCTCGAGGTTAAAATGCCTGTACTCACAAATATATATGATTTTTTTTAAACATGATAGAGAATTGAGACATTCGTCGTCAGCATCGCCTTTAATTGTAAACTCGGCCTTCTCTCGACCAACAGTGATAACAATGAATGCTGTTGAACTTTGATAGGACAACGAGGAGCGTAAAATCAATCTGGAGAGAAAGAGAGATAGAAAGAAAATTTTTTTGATGGGAGGGAGGAGGTGTCACCAGCACAAACTTAGTACACAGTCCCACTCCTCTGTGTAGACCCTTTTCACACCAGTCTCGAAATATTTTGCAACCACTTGCATTCCCCATCGTTTGCCTCCGGTAATGGTTTGCCTTGGAAACTTCGGATCAATGTCAATGTCTGAGTGACTGTGCCCTCACTCCTCCCCTAGCTTAACATTATCCCTAGCTTGTTTTTTTTTTACTAGTGAGTATGATTGAAAACTTAATCACATACCTGATTACGCGTTTGTTTTAACAGAGAGGTTTGATGTAAATATTCATGAGCATGACCATTTGCTTTCCTAGGCACAAATCTCTGATTAATTTCATGTTTTTCTACTACCAGTTCATTACCGTCTGACGTGGATCTCATAAACATACTTCCTGGATTTCCCGTTGTTAACAGTCCCTTAGAACTCCGATTTTACGTACGTCTGAAGGCTGGTATCAATCAACATGTTACGATAGACAAAGAGGTCCTGCACGTGATATTCGAATATTTTGCTCAAAACATAAGTGATGCATTGGGCGCAGAATTAATAGGTGAGCAAATTCTTTGTTCAATTTAATTTCTATCTTGCCCTTCATAGCTTTTATATCCGCATCATCTTTCAACGTTCTTACCGCTAGACCCCGCAATCCTTCAGGCCAGCAGCTTTGGTGCTGACTTAAGGAATTGCAGGCTCTGAGAGGGAGTTTTTTTCTTTGAAAGCAAAGTTAGGGTTCTAAGTGTCTAAATTTGGACAAGATGTTTTTTTTTTTATCATTGCACTGTTGCTGCTCTTTTTGTTATTGATGTTTTTGTTTTTTTTTTTAACTCGTCACATTTCAGATCGATTCCGGCACAAAACTAAACTCACGTGTTGTCCGTTGAATAAACTTAAAATTAGTCATGCAGTTTTCCGTCGTTCCTTGTGTGCAGCATTGTTAAATTTCTTTGTCACTTCTTGCTAGTGCACTATAAGAAATTCTGGCCTTTTTTTTTTTAACATCGTAAGCTATTTAGATTTGAAGAGTTACGTGCTACTGTATCTAACGATTCTGTCACTTTTTATATACAGCCGATGGAAACTTTACAAATTGGGGTCCCTGGGGTGAATGCAGCACGTCTTGTGGGCCTGGAATTCAGATACGATTTAGGAACTTTTTTTATCCACCGCCGATTAACAATGGTCAGGATTGCGAGGGACCTAAGAACGAGACACGCCCATGTGACTTGACACCTTGCCCAGGTAAAAGGCGCGTTGAAAAGGTGACAGAGGTTTGAAGAATGCCCTTTGCCGAATCTCCTCGTTTTTATCGTGGATCAGCTAAGCTAAGTTGTCATCTGATTAGAATCCCAGACATAAAAATCATAGATCCACCATTTGTTTCGGACTCTTACCTGCTAATCACAATAAGTCAGCTGCGAAGGTCTCAAATTTTTTTTTTTTGGCCGCTAAGTAACAAGAGAACTTGTGTTCCTCAAGCAGATGGAAATTTTTTTTTTTGGCTACTTTACATTTTTCTCTATCAAAAGCGTTTACATGCACATCCTGAGTTTACTCGAAAGCAAACTCAGTCTAAGGTAATTTTAATGAGAGGATAAGATTTGCATTGGCAATTCAGTGAATGTCTAACCGACCAGGTCACTGCTTTTTTCTCTTGTTGTTTCTGCACGTTGGGAATGATAAGCAAGGTCTTAAAGCTGCTCTAGTAAGGAACAAAGTACGTTAGTGTGTATTTGCCCATTTTTGTTTGTTAATACTGATCTAAAATTATATGATCTTGTTAAGTTGATGGTAACTTCAGTGAATGGGAAAACTGGAGCACATGTTCTTCAACGTGTGGTCGAGGAGTACAGATACGATACAGAAGCTGTACTAGTCCTCCGCCGTCCAATGGTGGCCAAGACTGCACTGGGGCCAGGATGGAGACCAGAGAATGTAATTTAACACTTTGTGTGGGTAAGAATGAACTTTCTCTTCACATACTTCTTCCTTGAAAAAAGAGGACAGAAGTTAATTTCTATTTCTAACTTTTACGCCACAAAAGTAAATGTAGCATTTCTCGCGTTCTTTTAGACCAATTTGTTGCTGAAATATTTTCAAAAACTTTTTTTTTGGCAGCCGAAGAGAAAAGTGCTGACTTCCCTTCCCGCTTCGGTTAAATTTTATCTTTATCTTGACTCTCTCCAGTTGATGGTAACTTTACGGAGTGGACAAGCTGGACCTCTTGCAGCCTGACTTGTGGAAATGGAACTCAGAGCCGTTACAGAAACTGTACCAATCCCCCTCCACAAAACGGAGGAAATGACTGCGAAGGATCTCGGAACGAGACTTTTTTTTGTTTTGATGGACCATGTCCAGGTTTATATACCAATTTCGAATCATATTTTTTTTTTTGGCAATTACAGAAAGCTTTTACTTGCAAAGTTGCTAAAAAGTAATGAGTTTTTTTTCCATATAGTTGCTAACATTAATTCACTGTGTTAATATAAGAAACGAACTTTTTTTGTTCATATTTAGGAATGAGAGTAAATGAAGCCTGACAAAATCAGGCCACGCCTCCATGTCGAGTGCGGGGCAAAAGTTCGTTTCTTCTTTTGTCTCTGTAAAGGATTTTTTTCCCTATAAAACGACTAGAAAAAAGTTAGGGTCGTAACTTGCTACTTACGTAGTAGGAAATCAAAGATGTCGGCTTAGTCAGACGTTTTCCTGAATTTCATATGATTAACACAAGCTGATAGTTAAGCCGGCAACTTTTCAAGCATATGACTTCATGTGACTTTTTTTTAGACTTTATTAATGAACATTGAAATTATTTGTAAAAGTTTGTTTTGCTATTTTTTTTCGATGGTAATTTTACCGAGTGGGGAGACTGGGGCAGATGCAGTAAGACTTTTTTTAATGGCACTCAGATTCGCGTACGGAACTGTACCAATCCTCCACCGGCTTATGGTGGACGAGATTGCATGGGACCTAGAAATGAATCGAGAGAATGCTACGAAGGATTTTTTTCAGGTACGTTTCAGACGGAACTCACTTCTAACAATTGTTACAAGCTTAATTTTTTTGTTGGATTTTCAGGAAAGAGAAAGAAAAGGATTGGATGACTGAGACTTATTTTCAATAAGGGAACTTCACCTTATGACCCAGAAATTATCATTATGATGACAATTTTACAATCACTAGACTTCTAGTCATATACAGTTTTGGCTTCCCAAGATGTATTTAGTTTTTTTTCAGTTTTGGCGTATATTTAAGTCAGGCGAGTAAGTCATCTTAACGCTTTTTTTTTTTTAGAAGAATTTGAAACGGGTAGATCTATGCCAAAGATATCTCTCCTCTGCTCCATATCTAAAGCTGAAAATGTTATTGTACAATGCTTGTGTAATGAGCTGTAGCACTTATAAGTTAACTTTTAATGATTTGTCTCACGAACAATACGCAGTCAGTATATTTTTTTCATCGCAGCCAATCGCAAGTATGAGAAAAAGAAATCCTCATGTTGAGATTTTTTTTTCAATGCATTCATAAATTAGTTAATTTGTTTATGTCACCGGTTTTCTCATTTTTTTGAAATTACACCGAATGGACAGTTTGGGAACCCTGCAATAGGACCTGCGGTTTTTTTTCTCAAAGTCGATACCGGTCCTGCATCAATCCGCCACCGTCCAATGGTGGCCGTGACTGCGTGGGCCCGAGTAATGAGACTAGAGAGTGTTTCATTGAGCCATGTTTTTTTTAGTTTGACGAAAAAAGGAGTGTAAGATCAGAAACAGTTTATTCCAGTTGGAATATTAATAGCATGTAGCGACGAAAAGGTACTTCCAATGCCCTTTGCACACTGTTTTTTTTATTGCAAGTAACCCCCGCCCTTCTCACCCTCCCCCCCCCTCCCCATCGTTTTTTTTGTATTTCATCAGTTCGCTCATCATCTATTTTTATTCCTGGGTGGAAGCATTTTTTTCCCGGTTTAATTGGCAAGGGTACCTCCCTCGAGGGATATCTGGCCGAGTTGGCTGGGCTACCGCGTCTCCCACAAGAGGTGCTTGGCATCATTGACTTTCAATTCTTTTTTTAACCTGCTACCACAGAAAGTATACTTCTCTGATTCTTGTTTCCTTTCTGTTGTATATCTGCAGCTCGATTGTATCCGTATGGCAGCCTTGTTGGCGACACAAAACTGCCGTCGTTTAATCAGTACAGATTTTACTGCAGAGAGATTGATATTCCTGGTCAGGGATTGCCATTCTTCTTGAGGGAACACAACGAAGTTTCTGTGAGTGGCGTGGGACTTTTTCCTGACTATCGCTTTGTATTTTAATTTTTTCGAAAAAAATGCATTATTCTTACATTGAACCTGGTTGCCTCGAGGAAGACACCATTGTTCACCAAATCACGTCTTCTGCGAGTTTGCCCTCTCTTGAAATACTTATTTATTGTGGTCGTACACTGCTTTCTTTGATCTCCGAAATATTCCAAGCGCATAAATACAGAGAATCTGAAATATTCAGTTTAAGGATGATTTTCATTCTTACCGACAGATTTGTAGAAACGGATTGTTACGCTTTATTGCCCAAACCGTGATCCGCTGGCCAGAGCGATTTCCAGGAGTCCGAGCCACTGGTTCCAACAGATTTCAGCGGTATTTCATCTTGGCGCCATTATGGAGCAAAATCAGTCACTTTCCTTTCGGAATCTCTAATACGAGCCAGGCGTCACAATTGTTTTATCAAGTCTACAGCAAGGACATTCTTGGTCATGTATCATCTAGTCACGCCAGAGAGGTCTTTGACCGAGTCAACAAAGATGTACAGCAGTATCAAACAGATCCCAGCATTCCCAATTTTGACGCGAGCTGGATTTTGAAGGTGACCTGGGTTCGATTGTATCCAGATACCTACCCAGTTGTCGATTTGGTAAGTAGCATTTCAAAAAAAACCTACCCAACTGCAATAGCCGTAAAAATTTTTTTGTTAGCTAACCGTAAAAACTTTTCCTTTCTACAATCTGTCATTGTGTCGTTTTGGGTTAGCTGTTCACCGTAAATTGGCCGAAATTTTAACCGTTAACCATAAAATTTTTTTTCCTCTCAAGACCCTCGAATATTGACCGCCGCAAGATTTGACGGTCAACTTTTTTTCGTTGTGTTATGCTGTCTTAATCAACTGAAATGAACGGATTCCAGTGATTTTTTTTTCCCCGCTGAGGTTATTTTTTATTTTGTATATTCAGACAAACACGTTCCTTTTTTTACTTGCCAGTGATGGGCAGCATACCTTCACCTTATATAATTATGCAGAATTTTTTTTTCAGTGGGCATCCTCCTCAGGAAGGTGAGCGAATATTTTGCTGTCGCCATTAATTTTTTTAAATTTACTTTGCATAAAAATCCCAGCTGATGAAGTGAAAACAATTTTTTTACTTCATACATTCTTTTACATTTCTCATATGTTTGTTTGTTTGTTTGTTTTTTTTTGTCTGCAGTTGTTTGTTTTTTAACCTCTCAGCTTTTCACAAGGTTTTCTTTTTTTTTTCCGCCACCTTTCTATACTACTGGATGGAGAAGGAAAAGTTGCCCGAGCTCGTACTGACCTATCAGCCTGATTTTCTATGCATTAACCATCAGAGCACCAGATTTCCCCTGTGACCGATCATTTGCTACTTTGAATTAGATTTTAAAAAAAAAGGTGTATTTTTTTTTTCAAATGGATTCGTCTCATTTTCCTTTTCAGTCGTTTCATTTCCCAGATTTTTTTAGGGCTTCCTGTGATGGGATATAACGCAGGAGACTCAAGAAATCTGCGCTTCTACAACATACCCGGGTGAGAAATAAAAAAGATTCAAGGATAGTATTTTTTTTTTTTTTTTTACGAACAATCTAATACGCTAAACTAAGCAACAGGATGCACTCAATCCCGTAATTATGACTGGTGTTGACATACTTAAATAGCATATTAAGAAAATTTGATATGAAAAGGAACGAAGTGATATATGTACAGGTGAGAAGCACTTTCGAAATTTGAACTTTATTTTTTTTGGTGCTTCTCGAAGTGTTTCGAACTCGCAGGCTACGGATGTTTATCCGTTTTTTTGTTCGTACGTCCTTACTACCTTGTATTGGTTAGTCAGCTTGTTAGGGTGTTTTTTTATCAATCGATCAATCCATTAATCAATCAGTTTGTCAATAAGCCGTTGGATTTTTTTATCAATCAATCAATCAATCAATCAACTCTGAATTAATTGCATTTTTCTCTTTTTTTCAGTTCGGGTACTGTGGAAGCTGACTTGGTAGACGAGCGCCTTGGGAATTTTTTTTGAGAAGGAGTATGGTTTTTCCGTCTGGATGTGAATCCTGTTCTTGACTTTTTTTTTAAGAAATGTTATACATGGATCAAACAGCAAGATAACATCCAAGTGCCTACGATACGGCCATGTCCATGCACGTTGGACCAAGCTATAGCGGATAAAAACTTTTACTTTTTTTATAACCAAGTGATTGCAAAACGTAGCAACCTGACGTTGTGCGCATACACGGTGCGTGATCTAACAAACCGTTGGGCACAGCAATGCTGCTACACAGAAATACCTGGAGGTGGAAGAGTTCTTTCCATCGGGCAAACAGAGGGGGGAACTCCGTTTTTAATTGGGATACCCGGCCTTCCGATTATCACAGATCTAGAAGCGCACAGTTACTGCTGTAATGCGTCCCTATGCGCTCGATACTATCAGTTTCGATCCTCTGATACTTGTTCCCGTTACAGCAGCAGGCGAGAAGGTGAGTCTTTCTTGTTCTCCTTTGCAAGAACTCATTCCGGATTCACTCATACATCAACTTTCATTGCAAATTTTCACTGCCGAAATCTGAAACTTTTTTTTAATGAAGTTATTAAATATTAAATTATTATTAAATATTAACTAAAGACACTTTTTTTTAAGATGTCAACGAAGGTAGAACGATGCGACTCTTCATCTGTGTGGATACTGAATTAGATTTTTACTTCGTAAAGCCTAAAGCTTTAGCAATCGATCTGCTTGACAAAGCAGTTACTTGCAAGTTTGCGATGGGCTCTTAACCGATGAATAAGAAAAGTCTAATCCGAGAATAATTCGTTATGTCCTCTATATGTCTCAACAGCCCTAATATGGGGAGATCCTCATTTTGTCACTCTTGATAACAAAGCCTATACATTCAATGGCCTTGGTGAATACACGATGATTTCCATTGACAGCGTGGGATTTGAGCTGCAGGCGCGCACCAAGAAGACCAGCGGAAGGGGACTGGGTACAGTGTTCTCAGCAGCGGTTGCTAAGGAAGCCAACACTGCTGCGGTGGAAGGACGGATAAATAGCCAAGGTAGTCTGATTGATAATACTTTTTTTGGTCGTGTATTGTAATCATTCACAAAGCTTATTCCTAAAAAAGGCCTGTTTTTTTTACAGCTTTGGCGAAAGCCGTTATCTCATTTAAGAAAGAATTGTTCGCCATTTTTTTGTTCGACTGGTTCGTGAGATCCGACAAACAAATTTTCTGTGATGCCATTTTTTTTTAGATCAGGTCAATTGTGATTCGTCAGTTTCAATCCATCGATTTTGTCTGCCTCGACTTACTTTTTGCTTGTTGCTGTTATTCGTGCCATAACTGTTTAGCCGCATTTTTTTTCGATTGTATAATTTTCAAAGATGAAGAACATTTTTAAGGCAAGCTAACATTTTTTTCAGAATAGCTTTTCCTCCCCTTTATAAAGTATAAACGAGCTTAAGCGTAAAAATAAGACGGATAAAACATGACCACAGCTTATCAAAACAAATGTCAAAAAATATTTTTTTTAGTACATGATCGATATCGTTTGTGTTGGCTGTATTTTCTACTTTAATTGTTTTTTTCGTTTTATGCCTTAATTATTTTTTTTTTTGGAAATTCTAGGTGAACTTGTTTTTTTCGTAGCAGGAATCCAGCAAAATATCCTAACTATTTCAGAGCGAGGGACTTTGATCCCAGGTTCAAACATTGTGCTGATTAGAGAGACTGCTGGCTCAATCACAGCTCTTTTTCCATCCGAGATCTCAATCAGCTTCTCTCGGGTTTCGGATGCTTTAGCCACCACATTCAATGGGCCAGTCGGGTTTGTGAACCAGACTAAAGGACTCTTAGGGACGTGGAATGATGATCCTTCAGATGATTTCAGGACTCCCAACGGCACAGTGCTACCAGCTGATGCGACACCCCAACAGATACACTACGACTTCGGATTGAAATGTAAGTTCTCCAATCAGTGAAATTTTGAACAGTCATATTCAAAGGGTAAGTTTATATAACTTTCAAATGCATTTCTCAGACATCCGCGTTAAAAAATGGAGAAAATCACCCCTAATGCTAAGTATTCTTGTGTACTGTTTGCTGTAGCAAACAGAAACCGTTATGCGTAATAGTATGATCAGATTGCAAGACAAATTACAGGAAGGAGAGGATTGACCTTTGGGATGGTTTCTGTTTGTTACAACGTAGGACCACGAAATTCCAAGCTCTTAAGTGAGAATCCTTGAGCGCATTTTTTTCTACCCTCGAGACAAGTATGGAATAACGTTCTGTATGTCTCACAATACCCGACAAAACTTTGCTATCAAGTTGCCAGAATAACTTGCTTGGCGTAACAGAACCATTTTTTTTTAAACTACCTAGATATTATTACAAGATAATTGATGAAATTGTTTATTCTTTTTTTTATTACGCCTCTGATGTCTCACCAACAGTCTTGCAGTATATAATTAACTCTTTTTTTAGCGTTCTATCGAGATGGTTCTCAATGAATTTTTTACAGATTAATCCCGTTTTTTTGCAAGCTATCACTATTGGCCCGTCTTCATACCAGTATGATTTCCATCTTTTTTTTTCTAATGTCCATACAAAGGACACACTCAAAATCCTTGGGGTGGTCCTAGATTTTTTTTTAACATTTAAAGCGTACATAAAGAAACAGCTGAATAAGAGATGCGCAATTTTTTTGACTTTGCGGAGAATACGGAAGTTTATTTCAAAGGACGAGTTAGTTCGTTTATACAAGGCCTATGTTCTCCCTCATCCTGAGTACTGCAGTCCTGGGAGTAGGTATTTTTTTGACTACTAAATTAGAGACAACTAATTACTTTATATTAAGAACTATATTATTTTTTTCGAAGTCTGTGTTATACAACTTCCTCCTCAAGTTGGCCGACATTAAGTCTTTTTTTAATCGTGGGCAATTCCAATCGTTAGTTATGTGATATAAGTGCTTGTATGTTTTTTTGGCTCCTTATATAAGGGATTTTTTTATTTTTAGAAATGTACCGTATAGTTTTTTTTGGCTCAGTACAAGGCTAGATTTACCTCCTTTTAATCTTGAGTTTTTACATCGGTCATTTTCATTTTTAGCTAGTAAACTTTGGAATGTGCTACCCCCTAACCTCATTTTTTTTCAAGATATTTTTTCATTGAAGCGTTCTCTTAAAGCCCACATGGCTTAGTTTTTTTGATTGTAAACATCGTTATTGTTGATATTGTTAGTATTGTAACTTTTTGTTTTTTTTTCTTGTCTATGATCTTCGATCCTGTTTTTATTTATTTAATAGATCCACTTTTTTTTTGTATTCTTCCAGAAATTATGTTTTCTTTCTAATTTTACATACACGTACTTTTTTTAACGAGAACTTCTGTACTCCTAGGTGTCACGTGTTTAAATAAAGGATTGATTGATTGGATTGATTGATCTGTTTGCGGAATCATTATTGAATTTTTTTTTTATTCTTTTTTTCTTGCAGGGCAAATAAACGCCTCCGAATCGCTGTTTACATACCAAGCTCACGAAAACCCCGCGACCTTCATAGATCTAAGCTACGTGCCAATGTTCATTGACAACATTACATGGACAAACGAATCCTTTAGACGACAGGCTGAGAGTGTTTGTGGCAATAATTTTTTTTGTTTGTTTGATGCGGCCGTGACCGTAGACTGTTCTTTTGGAATGTCAATTTTTTTGCTGGAGGAAAATAATGTTCAAGTTAACACTAAGCTAGGTAAGCAGTACTTTTTTTCCAAGTCGGAACAACTCGCCCTCAAGAAAGAATTCTACTTAATTGAGTTGATTGCCAAAGAGTTGAGTTTTGCAGTTCTTGAATTTTCAAAGTTCTGTCGTTATGTTTTTTTAAAAAAATAGACGCAGAAAAAGGAAAAGCTGGCAGGCGTATACACACACTTTTTTTCACACACACACACACACACACCCCTAGCTCAAGTTCTGGATCCACCACCTTTTTTTGTCAGGAAGGAAGTAGAATGGTTGAATTTGTTAACACGCACTGGGATTGTTTTTTTTGAAAAACTCTTGCTAAGTTATTCATAGTGTATGTTAAGACCTGAAAACAGGAAGGAAGAGGAAATTAGGATTTGAGTCGAATAAGTAAAGTTTAGTTGCTCAAAAAGTTGATTTCGACGATTCTCGTATTATTTCATCACAGAAACTTTTCCACCACAAATCGAAGGACCACAAGTTATTAACGCTACCTTGAACGAAACAGTTGAGGTGAACATCACAGCTCGCCACAACATCAGCGACTCGTTCGTGTTTACCGTCGAATTTTTCCCAGACGTGGAAGTCGTCTCAAATACTTCGCTGAGTCTGGTCGTTCGATGGCGGCCCACATTTTTTTTCAAGGTCTGTATTGTTCTAAATATAGCTTGCGCGTAATCCAGCAGTTTGTTTTTTTTCGTTGCACTTCTAAATACAGTATCTTACTGGAAAAAAATCGAACAACATTTTTTTGATTTTCTTTTCATCATCGACAGATAGAACCTGTGTTTATTGTTACTGACAGCAGTAACTCGTCATCAGAGCTCCGCCCTCTGATTCGACTTTGCTCATGCCAAAATGGCGGAAATTGTGTGGAGGACAACGATGTTCAGCGGCAACTGGACAGCGGTGTATTTTTTTTTGTTTTATCATGCGCATGTCCCGTAGGACTCACAGGAGATTTTTGTGAAAGCGATGTCGATGCCTGCGTAGAATACAATGATCCCTGTTTCCCTGGAGTTATCTGCAACAATGTTCCTCTATCTATCGATAAAAATGGGTACACGTGTGGTCCATGTCCGTTTTTTTATCATGGTGATGGAGCTAACTGCATTGGTACGTTTAAAGAAACCTTCTTAACTGGCTCCCGCTTTCTATTGGTTATTGGGGAAAACGCCTCCCCCAAGGCAAATCTTTTTTTGAGCAATATTACAATTCCTATTGAAATCATACGCCCATGTACCTAACCAACAATGTCCTTTTAAAACAGTTTACTTTTGTAGGAAAGACGTTTACATTTGCCTTATTTTTTTGCGTTACGTAGTCTATTCCAGGCGTCTTTCTTTTTACTAAAAACGGGAGTTTTTTTGTAAACGGCAAAGTGAAAAAAACAAGGGAGATCTGGGTCGGGTCGCGTTCATTATCCGGCCAGGCCCCAACCTCCCTGTTCCTTCGCTCTCTGCCATAGCGCTCTTTTTTTTTCGCCGAACAAATGAAACAGGCAAAGCATTAGATCGGTAATATTGCAATTCTGTACCCTTGAACTGCCCATTCCCGAAATTCCCTCGGCCTCTTTTTTCAAAGCGAGTCCTGGTGCTCATCGTTTCCTATGATTATAAGTTTTCATTCACATGTAATTTGAACTCATTTTCATACGAATGGTTGAGCTCAAGGCCTCGTTTTGAGAAAGAGGCCAAATTTTTTTGGGAAATGGCCAATTCATATGCCCATTTACCAGCAAACATTTCTGTAGTAATTAACCCTAACTTCCTACTGAGTATGCTTTAACAATAGGTATGGTAATCATAAATTTTTTTACAATAAACAAATAAACGATAATAATAATAATAAATGCCTTCTCACTTATTTTTTTGAAAGTCTTCCCCTTGCGCGACGCTCAATTTGATTTCTTTCCCTCAACAGATAATGACGAGTGTCTGGATCACGTGAGCAAATGCAGCCAATCATGTATTAATATTCCAGGTTCATATGTGTGTGAATGTAATCCAGGATATAAACTGGACAAAGACGGTTTCGGTTGTAATGGTAAGTTAAGTCAGTAATTGAACCATCTCTTGATCGGTCGATTTGAACACTTTATTTGGCAATGGTCGGCTACGAAAGGATAGCTCTGTATCTTGGCATCCGAAAGTGCCGTTTGGGGGTAGTGTTTCTTACTCAATTGTAGTGTCGTGCACCAAAGCTTGAGTTCTGGAAAAAAGGAGAGAGATCACTAACGTACAGGAATCTTTTAGGAGCCCCTGTTAACCAAAGCACATTCTTTTCTTATATGCCAGAAAATTCATGAAAGGAATTTTTTTGAAATGAAAGTAAATTGACTATTAGATGCCTGTGCTCTCGAAAGCCATCCACTTCTTCTTACCTCTCATATTCCTAAACAATACAGCTCTTCTGGACATGGTAAATTAGCCCGTTATGAAACAAACATTCTTGTTAATCCTTGAGAAAATGTGATTTATACTTTTTTTTAATCATTGTGATTTTATCAGATATCAATGAGTGTGTAGATGCCAATGACTGCATGCAAAGATGTACTAACTACCCCGGTGGACGAAATTGTTCTTGCTTCGAGGGATTCCAGATTAGCCAGACTGATGATACAGCTTGTACACGTAAGTATCACGCATGCGTTTTGCTGATTCACCGAATCTACAGTCGATTTAAAGAGGACCTTCGTCTGAATCTAAAAGATAGTTATCGATGCATTCATGTTCAGAATAACTTCATCGTGACATCTTGGTTTTAAAGAGTTTCTGACATCTGCTTCTATTGAAGTAAGGGCAGGACCTTGCATAACTTACTCTGTATTTTTTGCTTCAGCAATTGCAAGCTGCAATGTTTCGCAAGCAGGCTGCCAGCAGGTTTGTGTGGAGGAACAAGGAAAACCGAAGTGTTCGTGTCATAAGGGTTACCAACTAAAAGGAGACAGTAAAACATGCTCTGGTAATTGTTTAAACTTACATCATTTTTTTAGTTACAAGAATAATTTGTCCCTGACAAAACCACGAAACTAATATTGATGAAATTCCTGAGAAAATTGTGATTGCTAAGTGTCCCAAACAGACCATCGATTTTCCTCTAACAGCCGTTTGATTTTGGTGTTTTATTTTTCCACTGATTTGAGAAATTAAGCGACCCCCTTAGGAACGCTTTTAAGATTACTATGGTATTTCATTATCCACCTGTGCATTTTTTTGCGCACAATAAAGCTCAAAAACGAGTACAAATATCTCGCAGTATTTGTATTTTTTTGAACCGAAATTCGCCCGTACTGAAATAACAATGTGGTTTGTTGGATAACAAATCTCTTTTAGTTTGTATTTTGACGACTCGTCAAAATACGGCGCAACTCGTAAATTTTTTTAGCGATACTAACACAAAAAAACGATTTAATAAGATACATGCATTCCATTGTCAACTCTAGTGAAGTGGTTGTTGTTCTTCCTTCATCTACCCCCCCATACATTTTGTCATTCCAGATATCGATGAGTGCAGCACACATAGACACAGATGTTCACAGAACTGTTTTTTTAACGAAGGAAGTTACACCTGCTCCTGTGCTGGAGGCTATAACCTGGAATCAGACTATCGGACCTGCAGTGGTAAGTATCTTCTCCTTTGGTAGTGGGGTTAGGGATTTTTTTGGGGAGGGGGGGGGCAGAGGGGAATGAAAATTCATTCTTCGATCCAAAATTTTTTTATGAAGAATCATTCCGTGGATGAGCCACTACCCATTTCTATTTACGTATTTTTTTTTTTATTTATTTATACATGTACATAATTTCTCTTTGATTTTCCTACTTATTTTTTTTGCTTGTAATTGCATTTTACTGTAGAGTAATTTGGTAAAACAAATCATAGTCACTGAATATAATGCTCAACCTTCTCATATATGCTTTGTTTTTTTTCGCCTTCTAGATATTGACGAATGTGGTTTGATAGACGTGGTGTACTGTGCTAATCCCTTGGAGTTTTGTATTAACACAATAGGATCCTTCTACTGTGAATGTCAACAGGGCTACCAACGTATAAACAACACTTGCGAAGGTTGGCCTTTATTAATTGCTTTTCGTATCATTGACCGATTTTTTTAAGTAAAAAACTTTTCTCTCTTTTCACTCCAAAGGAGCGCATTGCAGACAAGGTCATTTTGTTCAAAAATAGCATATTGAACGGAACATCGCGCTCTGGGACATCCATAAAGAGAAATTTAAGTGACTCTATCATATGTCCCAATGAGAATATGTCATTAATTTTTTTAAAATTTATTTTTTGATCATGAAGAAGGGAGTTACGATTTTAGTTTCTTTTTTTTTTTTTTATCACTATTCTATCTTTTAGAAATTTATCCAAAAACGGGAAAACTTTTTTTCACAGAAAGCCCAGCCACGAATCCTGGCATAACTGATCAGGCCCTAGAGGAAGCCTCCGACAATGCTGTTGTCATGACAATAAGAAATACAGACATATCGGAGGTTTTTTTTATCTATTATTTGGTGTTGATCACGATTTCCCTTCAATGCTATTGTAATAGATGGGTTTTCGAGGTGTTTAGGGCAAAAAGTTAGTTTAATGAATGAGGAGTTGGCTTTTTTTTTCCTTAACCCCTTACTATTAAGAATTAACCTACTTTTGTAAAATTTACTTTTTTTAGATGGAATTTCTCAGTTGTTTGAAGATATCGTTTCCCAGGTTGTTGTTAAATATTGCCAAGAGGACGATAACGAAAACTGCCGTCATTCTAAACTGAGGAAAAGGTGAGGAAATTATTGGCCTTAATAGGTAGAATCCCAGTCATCTCAGGTGAACGAGGCCGGTATTCTTTGCCTAGCAAGAGAGAAAGGCTTAATTCTTGATAGGTGACTAAACTTTTTTTTAATCGTTAAAAACGATGACCAATGCATCAGTTGTCATTCTATGATCTTCAGGACATCTTCTGAGAAATGTCTTTATACTTTAGGAAAGGATGATAAAATTAAATTTTTTTTATATCTCACCACTGGAGGGAATCGCCGAACGAGAATAAATTAGCAAAAATTTTTTTTTAAATGCGTCGAGTATTCGGTGAGAAATGTTGTAGTGATTGACAGTTAATATCTCTGAGAGTGTGTAAAAAATACTGTGACACTACCCCCTTAACAGCAGCTAACATGTTTGTTTATCGATTTGATAAAATGCAGGTCGATCAGCGCAGGAATCCTAGATTTTTTTTTACACATGTTGAAGAATTACCCACAGCAAGAGCAAGCTGATGTAGTCATAGCTTTCTACGTCATCCTTCATTTCAAGAATCAAGAAAGCTACCTCATGACCCAGGCTGCGCTCTTGCAGGTTCTTAAAACATCAGCGGCCAGGCTGTCAGCCAGAATTAATTTTTTTTTTCACGACATCCAGGCATTTGACTCGGATGAAGCCAGTCCACCTACTCGTTTTTTTCGGATGGTTGCGTCACATATCAAATGGTTCATAATTGGTGGTGTTTCCCTTGCTGTAATCGTTCTCGTGATGATAGCGATATTTGTCGCCTGCAGGTAATGGGGCTTTTTTTGAGTGTAATTAGTTCTTTCTCTTATTTTATGCAAGTCGACTTCCTTCTGTTTTTTTTAAGCTGCCAGCGCCCGGCGGCCTAGTGGATATTTATAGGCCATATTGTTATTGCGACAAGGTTGCATACTTTGCCACTCTCAGCGAAGAAAGAATTTTTTATCATTTTTTTACAAAAGATACACTTTTCAGTTTTTTTTTTTTTTGCCTTTTCAATTGAATTTTTTTGCTCTTGTCAGTTTTTACCTTATTACCTTAAACGTTACTCTCTTTTTGTAATCTCACCTTGTGTTTTATTTTCCTAGACGGAGACGAACTTCCAGGCAGCTGAGTAAGCGTGGAAGGAAATCTGAATTCATTCTACGCCAATGGGCCGGGAGCCAAGAGGAAACTGTATTCGGATTAACAAATCAAGTCACTAAATTGTAAAAATGTCACAATTTACAATGACATTGCAATCTATAAACAATGCCAGTCACCCTTTGAACAGTCTGGCATGGTTTCAAACACGTAACAACGGTCACTGACGATTTACAGACCGATTGTGAAACTAAAGCTGAAACATAAGATATTCATTACTAATCGCAAAAAGAAAAAAAAAAACATAGGAATATTTTTTTGGCGTAATTTACGTTGCAAAACCCAATTTCACCCCCAAGCCTTGCTTTCAAGAGGCCAACTAATGGATTTTGAAAGAAAAGTGCTCCCAAGACACTGAAATCAAATTTTTTTCACTTGTGAAAAAAAAGATTGGTAAAGTTTCATGAAAATTTAATGTAAACGAGGCTTGTGAGTGTATTTTAATGGACTGACTTCATCGTGCATAAGAGCTATTGATAGACAAATGTAACCATGGAAATACTTAATAAATAAACGAAGAATCCATCAATGACTTTTTTTCCTTAGTCGAAAAAGAGAACCAAGGCCAGCTTTATATATCTTAATACATGCATTTCCACTGAGTTGGTTTAATTAGAGCTACGCAACCATTGTGAATTAGACTGTTTTTTTTAAATACCATTGAAAGAAAATAGGCTTGTCGTTAATGGAATTTTTAGAGATTTTTTTTTTTAAAAAATTCGCCAGAAATAGAGGGGCGAAATTGAAAAGAGCATGTCCCTATCCAGAATGAACGTGTACGGAAAACCTATCATATCGGCTGACGGCTACCCTTAGCCCCGTGAAAGCCTGCGATATTGGGACAGTGTGTTTGCGAATATTCAGGTAAATTTTTTTCACGAACAAAATGGCCAGCATTTATTCGTCAGAGCTTATTCCGGGCTTATTTTTTTTTAGCATATGAGGATACCGTTACCTTACCTCTTTGGGATGCTAAGCGATTTTTTTTTACGACTGCAGTCTATCTTTTTTAACTATGTTTTTCGAGCACACAGAGCATTGCCTCGGCCAGAAATCGTGCCCAGACTGCCCGACCGGGCCCGGAATTCATACGGCTGGTCTTAAGACCGCCATGTCTCTCCTTATCTGAAATTCAGGAAATGGCTTGATTCTCGTATGTTGGTATCAATCAGTTAAGGTTCTCATATGCATCATTACTTTTTCAATTTGAGAAAGGCTCTCGCATTGCAGCTTTATGTATGTTGGTCTTTAATCGGAAAAAAAAGTCTTAAGGATAAGGAAAATCGTTGATGAAATATTTAGTTCAAAGACTCATTATCGAGCAACATAAACTCAGGTTGGTATACCAAATGCTCAAGTGGCAACAGCGGTTGGCATTTTTCATGAGAAAAGGGCTAAAATACCTGTCTTGATTTCAACGGAATTATAACTTTTATTGGCTCCTGTTTTTTTTAGTGTACCATATACCTCGTCTGCTGAGGTTAGTTTTTTTTATTTGATATCAAAATAGTTGACTAGATGATTAAATTAAGGGCACTTACCGCCGGAGCATGGCGACGCTAAAGAAAACCGTGAGAACTAAACAATCTCTGTAGTTCACAATAGTATTGTTTTCCTTTTCAAGGAAGTTGCAATTGAGCGCCAAAGTTGCTTTTTTTTTAAAAAAAAATAATAAATAAATAAATATTAAACAACGTTTAATTAAGTCTTTTTTTTTGTTTTAGCTTGTAATATTTAAGTTAAATGAACGTCAATTTTTAATTTATTTTTTTAACTGCATCTGTTGCGTGCTACGTAAACAAAAAAAATGATTTAGCATTCTTTTTTTTTGATCTTTTTCACGTTTTTATGTTTTCCTCAGTGCTCTGACAAGAAATTTTTTTTTGAGTGTCGAATGAGTGTTTCAAAACTAAAATCAAATCACAAAGGGTAGAAAGCAAATGAAAAGGAGTAAATCGGACATAACATACCTCGCGTGCTGAAAAACGCTTTTTTTAAAACCGCAAAAGGCCTAGCTGATCTGCATATGATCGGCTGTGAGGATGTTTTTTTTTTCGACCAATCACAGAGCAAAGGAGAGCTCACGTGTAATGAGGAATTGGTTTGGACACTCACGTCAACACCGCGCTATTTTAAACCAGAGAAACTTTTTTTTTTTTTTTTTTACGTGTTCAGTAACTGACGATATTATTTAACGACTAGCTCGTTCTAAAAATAAGAACAACATTTGCAAAATGTTATCATTGACGTGTTTAAGATCCTTGTATGGCTAAGCTACCGGAACGAATATAGTGTTCCCATTTATGCAATGTCATGATCTTGAAATTTTTTTAAACTGTAAATCATTCAAGAAAATGCATCTCTGCCAGCTCCTTCTCGTTTTTTTTTTATTTTGTCATACCTGTGGCAAAAAGACCTAAAACTACAAAACTCAGTTTTAATCCAACAATCAAGGTTATTAATTAAAAGCTGTGTGAGGTGCGGCAGAGAGCCTACGATCGATATTATAACTCCTCAAATAATGTAAAGTTCCTCTGTTCTGCGCTGCAGTAGTTGACTTTGATTTTTGGGAAATTCCTTCATGATTTCTTGCATGTCAAAACTTCAATGTAAGTCTTTCTTAATCTTAGTAATTTATAAACACGCTAACTTCAATTTGTTTTTTTTTGCCATGTTATCTAGAATTTGTTTTATAATTAGCGCTTTGATATAGGTAATTTTTTTGAGTTGTGACCGTCTAATCTCATTGAGTACATTCACTTGTCTTCCGTCGACGGTCTTTTAACCAACAGTTTTTTTAATTAACGGCTCTAACAGTGATAGAATTTGTCTACAATCCCTGGAACTTTTATTATATTTAAAAATTTAAGTCTCTCATAAGGAATTCAGGTGAATGAATTTCCTTTTGATTACAATTTAATCTAAAACTCAATAAGGGCATATCACATATTTCGAAGCCGCTTTATTTCCAAAGTTTCAAGTAAAATTTCCGCTTTTTAAATTTAATTACTCCTTTCAGTCGAGACATGCTTCGACTAAATTGAGACAAGACGGCTGTTGTTGTCACGGAATCACAATTGGAAAAAATCTAACTCAATTTGAAAACTATGAATCAGTTGATACATATTACTTACGAGGTGTTTTCTTCATGAAGTTAAAACAACACCAATGATGGTAAAGACGATATCAATGATAATAATGGTTTAGTGGTTTGCCAAAGAAGCCCAACAAAATGTTTATGGCCTGATAATATTTCGGTTAACTTCAATGAAATTCGAATTTTTGTCTTTACTTACGGAGACTTGACGGCTCTGCAGAAGGAAACCTCTAGATCTTGACTTAAAATCTTCCTTCAGCTGAGTCATTTACTGTTCATGTCATATTCTTAAACTTGCTGAACACATGTAAACAATAAGAATTGTTATGGAAAAAAATAAACATAAGGATATTTTTCACTCGGAACAAACTGAGAATGTTACTGCTAAAATAAGAAAGTTTCCTTTTTGAAAAGACGTAAGCAGCAATTTCAGTGCTCAATCGATTAAATCGAACAATATCTTTCATAAGATATAGATGGACAGTAATGCAAAATATCGCATAGATTACCATCTCCGGCAATTTGTTATATTGGACACTGAGTTTAAATGGTATGGTCTGAATCAACTGGTGCGCTACAAGCGGTATCTTGAGGCAACCCCCTGTCAAAATATTCGTAATCGCAACGGAGTTTTAAACTGAAAATGATAGACGAAAAAAGAACGAGGATAGCAGAAGATGGAGAGAAATAGCACGGATTGCAACGATGAACAAGAAGCTAATTTTTCAGGGTTTATTACCGGCGATAGAGCTCCCAATCAAACTCGAACCAAACTGCTTCATCCCAAATAAGAGTAAATTTCCTGATTATAAAAAGTAAAGATTTATTTGACGCAAACAACTTCCTTTGAGGTATTAATAAGTGTCTATGGGTTCCCGACCATTTTATCCTGTATTTTGTTACCTGATATCTGAGGAAATAATATCTATTCTTAAGACATTAATGTCCTTATAAAAAAAAAAGAAAAACATAAGTACAATGCATTGATTTATGATAAAACTAGCTGCGTTTGTCTTAAAAACAACTGAAAAAGAAACTATAGATATATTGGCTTTCCTCATCCAAATGCTAAGTACGCCTAAGGGGCCGACCATTTAACTTTTGAGGGGTGGCTAGTGATTTTGAAATAAAATTCCTGCAAGCGCTTGTTGGAAGAAAAAAATTCCACGCAGCCCAAATGTAACAGAAAAAATGTACCAAAAAATCGGAAAAAAATATCCTGCACGGCAGATTACTATCAAAAAAATTTCTTGATGACCAGAAATCACCCAGCCCCCCTCAAAAGTTAAATGGTCGGCCCCTTAAGTGAGAGATAAGAAAGAGTGCATTCCTTTGAGGTACATATTCATTTTTTAACGCAAAGAGAATATCTTTTCTCGAACTAGAATTGAAGTTAAGGTTTTTTGCTTCTCTTTTTTACTAAAAGTAAAATTACTAAAACTTACTTGGATGTGATGCATTAGAAACATTTTCCAGCTGTTGGACATTTTTCTTAAATTTTTGAAATGGAAAGTTTGTGTCTTTCAGTAGGCGCAAGATGTCGATGAGGTATTTGAAAAACTACTATAACATCAAAAACTGTATAAAGTTCGCTTTAGGTGAAAAATGTTGATATCAATTGATCTAATGTTATCGTGTTTCTATTTTTCTAACCTGTTACGAGAACGTCAACTTTGCCTATATATTTTATCCCTGTAAACTTACGAGTAAAAATGGATAATTCAGATCTACTAGGAAAAGTGGGTTTTTTCTCGGTTAGTTCAAGGCTCTACTCCAATATATTTGCATAAAAATCAAATAATGCGCCGTCGAAATGCATATGGCGTTGTCACTATGGAGAAGTGAAAGCATCAGAACATTTTAAGAAAACTGTATTCCATCGACACAAGAGGAAGCCATAGGGCTCTTTGTGAGTTAATACTCAGCTAACGTTCAGAGATTGAAAAATATTTTTCAAGCACTACATCCAGTTGAAATATAAAAGTATATATGTGGTTCTGCGGCTGAAAAGTATACTCTACTGATCATGTAAACATGTCTGCGCGTTGTAAGAGCTTATTGAGCTAGACTGGCCATTTTTTAGAACTATTATAATTTTTGTTTCGAGAATTTACCAAAAACAATCAAGAATGTTTATCAGTATCTCGATAAAAACAAAACAGTGAGATGCACGTAATGAATTTGAATGGTTTGAAAAACATACACGCCCTGATCACGTGCGGTAGACGCAGGGCATGGGAATACTTAATGAGTCTAAATATAATGATATAAATAACTGATAGGTGTAAAGAGAGTAAAATTGCGTGTTTATCCAATCAGAAGTTCTCTTTGCTGAAAGTTAATACTCTGATATTCTCTTGCTAATAAATGAAATGCTAAACCGTCTTTCCACACTACAACAGTTGACCAGGTTTAGCTTTTCGCTGTTCTGTCTGGAAGTTCAACTCCGGAAATTCTTTCATGCTACGGTATGAAACAAAAGCTTTTTCCTTAGTAACTATTATTTATTTATTTATATTTATTTCTTTCTGTAGTAACTGCTTAAAGATGTACAGAGGGCCATTATGTCTACAAGTGAGGGCTGTTGAACCAATACTATCTTGACAAGTATTAATGACCTTATGGATATTTTGCAGATGATACTGATCAATTTTGACTCCATAAATTTTGTTGCCTCCAAATCAAAAAGCACATTCATAGACACTAGCCAAAGAAAACAGGTCCGAAATTGGAGAAGTCTTTCAAGAGGCAAAGAATTTCAAGTAAGTGGAGAAATATCAGTTTTTATTTCAAGTCAAGTCAGATAAGTTCATATCTTGAGCCTTACATGTTACAGCTGCAGTTTCTTTTTCCATTTTGAGATTTATTGGTTTCTTGCTTAAATTAACACTTCCTTTATTAATTAATTTTATCTCTGTCGATAACATTTTCCGTACCGTAGTTTCGCTTTGGCTTAGTTTTGGAATAAAAACTGTATTAGCTTAACGTCACGTTAAGATAATTCAACTGTATGCTATCGGATAAACCTTTAAAACTAAATCCAAAAAATGCTTTAGTCGATATTTCATAAATCTCAAACTCTGATGATGTTACTGCACTAAAAGTTGGAATAGTTTCAAATTTGCTAACGGTAGAAACTGTCTCTGATTTTCAAACTCGTGGATTAGGACATTCAACAGGACTAGGTCTCGAAAACTAAAAACGGAGGTTCCAACATTATCGATACACATCTATCGGCATTTTTCTTATCGGGTTACAAAGTGCAATTTTCCAACTTTTCTGTCATTAGTTTTACGTACACGGTAATCATATTTATAAAATCTGATAAACATATTTACAAATTCCGATAACCAAATCCCTTTCAGCTGAAATTGGTTTGGTTATCGGAAAATCTTAAACCTTTACAGGATAAAGACATCATGGCTTTTCTTAAGGAACTTCGAAGTATAGAAAAAGCAATAAAAGTAGCGTTCACCTCCAGCGTTTCTGTAAAGAATTGGTACTGTAAACTGCCTGTTGCTGCTCCCTGGAAGAAATGTGATTTTGAAAGCGACATTTACTGGGGAATAATATCTTACCCCAATCATTAAAGACCGTTTAACTCCGGTGCCTGTTCAGTCTTAAACTGTTATCCAACGATGATGGATGTAAGGCACGTGGCACGTGCATATGCTAGACTGGTGTGTACAATACCAACTCCCGTGCCGGCTCAGCACACGACATATGTCACCTACATGTGAAACTTGAACTTCAACACCTCCTCCCCCCCCCCACTAAATAAACGTTTGCTTTTTTTATTCAGTTAAACTGTCATATTTTGCGTACAAAATGAAATTGCTTTTATCATCAGGACTGTGACAGTGTCACAGCTGAGTATACAAATTCAGTGATTTCGATTCTGAAAGATTTTCATACCGTCCAACTTCCTACATTTGAAAAGTCTCCTCTAACTACGCTTCGAAACAAAATCACTCTGTTTTTGGGCCTTAAAGACAAACAGCATTGACCCCTTAAAGTTGTTCATTGAGTATCGAGATAAATGGCTCTGTTTATCTTGAACAATATTGTTATCCTTTACAGTAAAATTTCGAGTAATTTGTTTCTCATCAGCTGATCAGTCTAATCATGTCATATCTATTTTCAGACCAGTTATTGTGATGTATCTTCTGTGGCTAATTTCTATGATTGGCGCCGTTGCGTGTCAAGGTGAGGTTTCTGGGATAGCTTTTTGTCAATTTTAACTCTGATATAATACTTACTTCGACAAAATCTGTTTTCGGGTTTTTACGGCATGAATGTAGATTGTACGGCCTTCAATTTTATTCTATGTCAGCCTGGTATGTCTGGTTCGACTGACAACAATGAAAACTTAACAACTCATGTTTACTTGGAAAACCGAAAATACTGGAGATGTATTGTTTAAAGAAACATGGAATAAATATTGAACATAGATTTTCACAAAAGATTAACCTCAAAACTGGAGGACCAAATACTGATGTTGAATCAATATTAAATTTGATCTTAACTAGCTTTGAGAGTTTGAGATCTGAAGTTTCTGACCGAAGGAATTCGTGAGGAATAACTACTGATCAAATTCTTTTCATTTCTCATTTAGATTATGCCTATATGTCTGATCAAAAAGGTAAGATTAAATAAAACTCATGAATTTTTTTTAGAATGGATAGTTTAATGAATGAACTTAGTCGCGAAAGTAAGTTATTTAACCAACAATTAAAGTAGGGTTTCTTGTCTTGTCTCGGAAAAACTTACGTGACCAAATCATAATAAGACCTTTTTGAAATCTGTGCGATATCATGTGGAAATCACAGCCAATCAGAGCTTGTTTTAAAACAAATATGAATAGTCTCATTCACGTTCGATCCCAGGCTCTCATTTGTATGAATAGTGCCGAATACCGGAATACCACTAATAAATAGTTTTTCTACGCATTAGCTCCAAGCCCAGCAAACTGGTCCCAAATATTTTCACAATGCGCCGGACAACTTCAGTCTCCTGTTAACATTGAGACAAAAAAAGTGAAGAAGAAAAGCTACCCTGATCTCAAGATCAGTTTTGACAACCCATGTGGCCGAGTGACTGGAGAGCTTCGCAATGGCGGCCATTCTCCTGTTTTCAACATCGACAGCTCAAAGGGGGGCGCTAAACTCAGTGGCGGTCCCTTAGATTGTGACGAGTATGCTCTTCAACAATTTCATTTTCATTTTGGATGCGAAAACAGACGAGGATCGGAGCACTTGATTGACAACCAAACTTTTCCAGCTCAGGTATGTAGCAATTTTTGAAATCGAAGAAAAAATAAAATTACAAAGTATCGCTGTAAATTACGTTCAAGAAATCAGCAGTAAAAAATCACGTTGAAAAACGATCTTAAAAGTCTAATTGCAGTCACAGAATTTCTCAATTGTTTGAACTACCTTCATCGTGCGAAACAGTCTTATCATACCTTTCCGCAATAACGAGAGAGAAAAATACGCACTTCAAGACCATTCATCTTCGAAATGTAAAAGTCTCAATAATAATTTAGAATGCGCTAGTTTAGTTCAGGCATCAACACAATTTTTATTTCATCTCATCCACATTTTATCAACCCTGCTTATTAATGGTTCTTTACTTGTTCTCTCTCAGCTTCATTTGGTTTTCTATAACAAAAAGTACAATTCCTTCAAGGACGCAGTGGATAAACCGGACGGCTTAGCAGTTCTGGGTGTCCTTCTCACGGTATGAGTTCATAAGATTTTCCAACAACATTTAACAAATGGTAAACACCACAGCGTACACTATTGAGTTATGGATGCACGCGGGAGGTTGCTAAGCACGAAAGAAGCGTAAGAGTCGCTCGAGGCGATAGCCGAGAGCGACTCTAGCTTCTTGAGTGCTTAGCAAACCTCCCAAGTGCATCCATAACTCAATAGTGTACGCTGTGGTGTTTACCATTTGTTTTATAACATAACATTGATACATTGTAGCTAAAGAGTTCCCTTTTATTTAACAAATCTTACG